GTTGCTGAACTTGGCTAGCTCGGTGGACAATTCTTGTAAAACGCGGTTTTCTCACGCGGTTCGTGTTGCCAGTCCCGGCGTAATAGGCTACTCGTAGTACCGTGGATGCGTTTCCCGGCCGCGGATGACAATCTTTTGTCAAAACACCGTCTTTTCCGCATTAAGAACAGAATTTTTTCAGCGGTCTTTTACAGTTAAACCGGTCATGTCCGCATTGTTTGCACCGCCAACAGGTATTGTCCCGGTCGTATGCGGATGCGGTAGTTGCAATATTGGCGATTCCCCGGTTATATTGTTTTTTCCCACTTTCTTCGTGGGTGCAGACTTTTTGAATATCTTCGTATTCTTGAGCTCGGTCCGCGAGGTCGTGTATGTCGGTGACGTCAGTCAGTCGAACGTACATTTTATATTCGGCGCGCATGTTCTCGAATAATCGGTCGACTTTTTCTTGTCGCGAGAAATTTCCCGCGCGGCGCATCATGGTGAATACCGCGGTGGAATATTGTTCAAACGTTTCGTCGTTTCTATCGACGGTCCTGAATTTCTCGTGTTAGGCGAGCCTGGAAACGTTTTGGCAAATATTATCGTCGAAAAGCGTGCAAGAAATCTCCCCACATTGCCCATTCGCTCATGTTATTGCAGTACCAAGAGAGCACGTTTCCTCGTAATATTTCGGGTAAACCGTCTAGCATGGATGCATCGATATATCGGTATTGTCGCTGCAGTTTCGAGATTCATTCGAGAAAAGAGAGAGGGTCACGTCCATCGAAATGGCACCTCCACTTTCTGATTTGATTCATAATTTTCGCGTGTATGAATTCATCTACCGCGACGGATGATGCTTCGAAAAACATGGGCGGATTTTGTTGAGGATTCGGTTTTTTGGGTAGCCATAGTGCTTGGCTCTGGCGGAGCTGACGGCGTAGTTCGTCGAGTGTATTGGCCGGTTCGATGTTTAGCAAGCACACTATACGAATTGCCTCCGCTTTGGAAAGAGTCTGTATCCAACTGGTCATTTAACTTTTATTAATTTTTAACACAGTCCCTGTTCGGGCGCTATATAACGGTCCGTCCTCGCCGGACGTGTCGTGCGAATTCGGGTGCGCGGATGTGCTCGTTGGTTGCAGGGTTCGGTAATTAATAAAAGTGTGTAACTCGGTTGTTTGGTTAAAAGAACGCGTATTTATTCGAATCAAACCAGGTGAATACACAATGGGTTCGCCGGGCGTGCTTACTGGCGAGCGTGATATACGGCTGGCCGTGAAATTCTTGGTGCGCACGAAATATGCGCGACGTGTACGGAGTGCGCGATGCGTGCGTCGGAGCGAGAGATTGGCTCGTGTCGGGGCCTACTGGCCGCGTCGGCGCGCGATTAATCGAGCGGTGATTCGGCGATAGCGTCGACGGTGCATGTCGCGTTACTCGGTATTTTCGCGCGGTCGATGTGTATTCGAATGTTAGGAGCGAGAATGTTTGCTCCGCTTCGTGAATTCTGCACGAGAGACAAGTATGCTTGTCGGGGACCGTGTGCTCATGTATTCATTTGGCGCGATTGATGAGAATGCTCCGTCTCGGAGCTCGTATCGTTGATAAGGAAGCGTTGAGACTGAGAATGTTCAGTTTCGAAGGAAGCGAGAGTCAAGTATGCTTGGCGAAGACTGAGAATACTCTGTCCCGTTTTTCTCACTTGGTGCGGATCTATGATGCCGGATCTATGATGTCGAGTATGCTCGGCGGAGATCAGGAATGCTTGTTCTCGGTTTCCCGGTATCGGTCGGAGATGTGGACAGATCGGAGGATCGGATCGGTCTGGTCTCTTTATCCGGATTCGACCGGGTTTATATATCCGGCCGCATTTGGTATTAACAATTTAGTAACAAACAGCGCGCGGGTCATCGGCGGTGCTCAGTACGTACGTGGCGACTGCGTGCTCGGTTGCGCGCGCAACCGTCGGTATGTTCGAGAAGTTGAGCGCGCGTGTCGGTCGGCGTGTTCGGTAGCGGACGCGCGGCCTGGTCGCACTTACAACTTAGAATGATGCGCGGGAGGTGTATCGTTACAAGCGAAATGTAATAATATACTTGTAATTATTAATGTCTTATTTCTTTGCTATTATAATATAATAATTCTACTACTAGATTTATCTGAAGAATGGACTGTAAGCAAAAATATAACGTATAACTTTTGACAAGATATGAGAAAATATCTTTTTATTTATTTTTTTATAATAAAACCATGTTTTCCACGTAATAACTAATTCTCTTTTGTTAAAAAATAGGTTTTTCAAAAAAATTATAATAATAAACGTTTAATAAGTATTTAAAAATATGAGCCAAAATAATAAAATGCAAAAACGTCAAGTTTTCCAAAATTTTAGAAATTTTTATTTTAGTAATTATTTACATTCTATAAATTGAAATATTTAAAATATTAATATTAATTACAAATGTTCTTTTGCTAAAAGTTATGAAAACAGGAGGATGTTTAAGCTATGCATCGCTATCCTCGCTGATAATACAATTCTTAATATAAACAAGTGTTTATGGATATATCCTTAGTAGAATCGTACAAATGATCCAAAAAACCAAATTAATATTTTTATACAAATTGATTGTTTCTCTTTGTTTTTTTGATTCTTTGTTTATTATATACGATTTAATACATAAATTCTATATCTTACGGTATAGAAATTTGCTTTTGCAAATTAAAATATATATTCGATTTTTTATGAAACAAATCTATTGAAAAAAATCACTTAAAACGTATATGAAATATTTTATGGACGATATGGAAAGCTATTATCAAAACTATTATCAAAATTTTAATTATTATAAGTTATTGTTAAAACTATTTTTATGAAATGTATACAGAATGTTTTATTTCAAATGTAATAGGTCAAATATCTCAAAAAATATGAAAGATATGAAAAAATGTTTCAGACAAAAGTTTTATAGGAAAAAAATAACATTAACTGATAACATTATTAATTAAATTGTAAATTGTAGTGTTCTACTTTCGAGATTTTTTATGGTTATTATTTTTTTAAATGATATTATTTATTTTTTGTTATGCAATGATTCCTCTAGTTTTTTTGAAAATAAATATATTGTTGTAGCCAGACCTACAACTAATAATAAAAGTAGTCCGCAACAAAAGTAGTCCGAATGAATCTCGGAAAAAGTCTTTCGAAAGAAGACACAAATGTGTGATCGCCGAAATTGCGACCAATTTTTCGAAAGACCGCAGAAATGCATCGCGCGAGAATATTGCGAAAAGCCTATCAGCAAATTCCTAAATTTGATGATCGAACGGAGCGTGATATTGATCAATCAATATCACGCAATCGATCGACGCAACCAATCGGAATGCTGATCGGGCATCGATCAATCTATATAATCGGTTACACAAAGCGGAATGAGGAGAGTCAAAATTATAAGTCGTGCGGAATCATTATTATAAAAGTCGCGCAAGATATTACGGAATTCCGTCGCGAAGTTCACGCGAGCCATATTATCAGCAGCTCAGGTGTCACATTCGGTCGTCAGCCGCCAGAGTAACGCAAGACGCGCCAAACCGCCCGACGATGCATAAACGTGTGTAAAATATAATCGTTATAATATCAAGTATTTATGCACTTGTTAAAATAAATCAATTAAAGAAAGTGTGTGTCAGTGATTTCACGAGGACCCCTACATTCCTTTGATCCTGCTCAGAGTTCCAACTCCTTAGACTTGACGAATCCAACTATCCCGAATATTAATGTCATAGCCCATCCGAGGTATAACAATATTAAAATACAAATATGAAAAATCAATAGTTTACGAAATATTTCGTACTTTATTCTATCATTTTGACATAAAAAAATTAATATTTTGTAAACTAATCATTTTCTGGTAAATGTATTTTAATATTTGTACACAGAACAATGAGATAACTTAATTGATAAAGAAAACACATAGTTGTTTTCCAAAAAAGTTATGCATTTTGCAGTTTGCAACTACACATGTTTTTTTGAAAAGCACTGGTATTTTCTTTACCTCACTTGATTTATCTTATTATTCTGTGCAGAAAAATATTAAGATACGTTCACCAAAAATGATTAATTTATTTTATGTTTTATGTCAAAATACGACGGAAAAAAGCAAAATATCTTGTAAATTAGTAACTTTTTGTGCCTTAATATTATATATATAATATTTTATATCCAGAATAAGAGGATTATATAACAAAAAGTATATGATTTCATTTGAAAGAATTTGGCAATTATAAAAAAATCTCGAAAGCGCTATTTACAAATTGATAATGTTATTATCTTTCCCCCTCGAAGCTATAAAACTTTTATCTGAAATGTTTTTCCATATTTTTTATATTTTTTGAAATATTTGACCTATTACGTTTGAAAAAAATATTCATAAATAAAGCAAAATATAATATATTAATAATAGAAAATTCAACATTTTATTTATTTATAAAAATAATTTAGCAAACAGATGTTTAAATGACAGTTCGGGACGAAAGGCGCATGGATGGCATGTTTCTCATACGGCGACGCCCCTAAAGCACAGCCGTTCAACGATTCAGCCGTTGAGACTCGAGCGGTGGTGAGGGAACTGTAGGCGTCGCCTTCGAAATCAGATCGAAATATGCATTCGAGCGCTGGTATAGAGTATAAAGAATAGAGTCAGAACGCATAATTATTATATAATTATCTTTCCAGTAAGATTATTCTTGTAATTGAGGAAGATGCGATTCTAATAAAGAGATTATTGTCAAGTTGACGATTCTAAGAGCAAAGTAATTATTCTATTTTTATATCTCATGCGTCTTTAAGAAATTATTAACGGGAAAATAGATACAAAATTGAAAAAGAAATTACGGGACGTCACACCTCCCCCCTATTTTTGAACAAATTCCGATTATTATATATTCGAAGGAATTTGTTCTATCTTTTCGATATGATTCGATAGATCCTTATAAGAATATGGTTCGTGTATAATTACGTGGGAATTATTTTCTGGCGTTAGACGAGTTGTGACCGGATTGTACAGACTGACTTGGCCGCGCGCTGGGTCGCTCCCTCAAGAATCCTTATCCAATCTTTCCTTCTTATAAGCGAGATGCAGCAACAGATGTGTGATAGCTCCCCACGAGGCACCCAGCAGATGCATATTGCAGTTGTAAGCAGTGTGTAGAGCATAACCATGAATTGTGGTAATGATGACTTTAATTAAGTGAATGATCAAGAATATCTCAAATACTTCTGCAGTTGCGGACTCGAACGTTACAAAGCCGTTCCAGATCCTGGAAGCAGTATTATCGACAATTTTATTAAGAGAAACTTCGTCTAATAAATTATACATAGAAACACCATCAGAATTAAATGAATGCCTGGTCATTCCGCGAGCTACCGAATTGAGTAGAGCTGGTTTCTCGGCGGCAAATATGATGTTCTCGAAGTCTCTCGATATCCTTTTGCAAGTAAATTCGCTGACTGCTAGTGGTCCTAATGTCAGATATTTCCAAGTTAGAAATGTCATTGGTTGTATTTGCTCCGGTGACACTTGTCTGATTTGTGGCTCTGGCGTAAATTGTATCCAGGTATCTTCGATGCGATACAACGTTGATAGCTCATAATTACATTCTCGTTCGTTGCCGTATTTTGTGAGAATGTGTCAGGAAGAGATTCTCGTTCTTTACAGTAACAGATAGCTCGCCATAACATTCCTTGGTACATCTGTAACGGAGCGCATCCCTCCGCTCCGTTCCTCCTCCGATTTTCCCCCGACCGATCATCTGTCGGGGACCGCCGAAACAACAGCCGGACAACCGCCGACAACAGGCGGAGTGCGCGGCAGTGGCAAGAAGCATTTATGCCTCTTTTTTAAGATTACGATACGCGAACTCCGAAAATATGTGTGTTTTCGTGGTATTTCCTCGCACCGCGCCACGCGTCGCGCCACCAAGCGCTAGCGCACTCCGTACCGCACCGTACCACCGAGCGTAAATGAATCCTGCGCCGCACCGATGCCGCGCCACGCAAGCGAGCGAGCATCCCGCACCGCGCCACGACCGCGTCTACAAGCGCGTGACCACCCCCGCACCGCGCCGTTACCTTCCCACCGAATTCCTTTCCTACTCTCAAACATCCCCCGCTCCTATTCCTTCTAATCCCCAAAAAACCAATTATAACCGATCCTTTTTTCCGCTCCTGGGGAGAGAGATGCTAATTCCGAGATCGACCAATCTGACCGATCCGACCGAAAATACCGAGGTCGATCTCGGGTATAAAAAGGCATCACTCTCCACAGGAAATCGACTCCTCGTTGACTTCCTCGCTCGTTTTCCGAGAGCCCGTCTCAAGGAAGCGAGCATCCGAAATCGGTAGCAAGCCTGAGTTTTGTTGGGGTCCTCCCCAACGCGCCAAGTTCGCTTGACCTGGCCGAAAGCCGTATCTCCGTACCTCGCACGGCAAGCCGAGAGTTGCTGGGATCTCCCCAGCGCGTCGAGTTCGCTCGATCCGACTCCGCCGTTCCCGAGATTTCTCTGCCGGGCATCGGAGTTCTCCCCGATACCATCGTTCCTCTCCGAGCACCAGGGTACCTGGTCGGCCGAATACACTCGGCACCGCCGCCTTTTTCTCCGCACAGTTGGGGCCCTCCCCAGCTGGTCGAGTTCATTCGGCATTCATTAAGACAGACGAGGAGCGCACCTCCCGTCAGCCGAGCCCTCTCGGCAGGGAACGGGCACACCCGTTTTTTGATTTAAACGATCCGACGATCTCGTGAATATCTACCCTCGCGACAACGCCCGCGACACGCGTGCACGTTTTAAATCACCGCTGATTTAAAGGTCCGCGACGAACACGTGCGACACCGCCGCCGCCGCGCGCGCCTCGCGCCACCGAACTTCGCACCGCAGTATCGCGCCGACCGCCAGAGCGATACCTCATTTGTATCCAAACACTATCCGCGCGCCGATCGCCGTCTCGCTCGTTCATGGCCACGACCATTGACGCAAAGATTCGGTGCATTCCATCGCACCACTGTTAGTTGAATAAATCATTGTTATTTCTTATAATTATCGCCTAACAACTTGATAACCAACTTTCTGTCTCCAACGTCTTCGCTTTCCCTCCTGGTAACCGACTGACCGCTCTCCGCGCGGGAAAGCGAGACCGTTTTACATCTAATTGTAACATCAACTACATTTAATAAAAAAATAGCTTCTCCTGCCACTACAACCATGTATCCTGGCTCTTTCATTAAGCGGTAAGCAAATTCGTCGGGCTGTAACGTCGCGAAAGACAGAGTATTAGTAATTACTTATCTTTCGAGATTACATTTTTGTTGCATTACATCATAATAAAGAGACTTCATCTGAATTCGTACGTGTTTTTCTACGTAGACAAACTTAGAATTCATGCGAAAATGTCTAAATTGTTCATGGGGATATGGCCACGATTTGAGATAGTATCTCCCTATTTTGTTTCAAGTATAAACAATTTCGGATGTTCCGTATGGTACAGAATATAAATAACTGCACAGAGGTTGTTCCTTGGTTTCGGTTAAGGCAAATATGATATCTTGTGTGATAAGACTATAAATGATTGGTGACGTACCATCTGAGAGTTGCTATTCTGGATCTTTGTTGCTGGTCTTTCGTATAGAATATCGTACTGATGGAAATCGCATGACGTGGTAGGCACAAGTTTCCAATATGAATATCCATCCATAGAGTCAATGCAAAAAGTTCTTTCAACGAGCAGATGATTCCTGATTTTAACATTATCTTTCCCGTTTCCAGTTATACGGGAACATTTGAGGTTTTTATAGTAATTTTCGCAGTCCCTTGCACAATGATGTTGTCCCAGGTTCTGTAAGGATCGGAATACTGCACTCTCTTGCAACTGTCATCCATATTAATGCGTCCGGCAAGAGTGAATCTGCGTGTAGTTGTTTGATTTGGTCTCAAACCTTGAATAGATTGTTCCAATCCTATTGATAGAAATCCGTCTTGAAGCATTCGAAGTCAAATGATATATCCAGACTCGTGCACGTACAAGGCATGTCCATTTTGCACTATAAATATATGCGAATGCATGCCACAATGATAAATGGTGATTTCCACTTTACACTGAATCACTTCGGCATAGTTGTATTCGGCTGCAATAGTTGTATACGTTTCTGTAGTATTGGGTTGATGCATGTTAATTCCACACTCTCCCATGTCGAGCAAAGAGATAGTTGAAATATTTAAATCCTGTTCGCCACAGTCAATTAGCGAGATAACTGAATTAATAGAATTAATAGAATTAATAGAGTCATGGTTTGTAACAGAACATTATAATATATATAATATATATATATATATATAACAGACAACATTATGCACAGTGTATAATTTGCTATCAACTCTGTATCATTGTCACAATTATTATTTTATTGTTGTAGCCCGGATTGGGTTACAAGATTGTAATTAGGGAAAGTCGGGTTCGCCGAGGAATTAAAACTTAGGAATTAAAACTCCGAACAGGATCGTAGATGGAAGGTTCTTCTGGCCAAATATTATTATTCACTTTCATTAAGTAGCTGATTTATTGGTACGGCTTCTTGACAATGTTTCGTGTGAATCTCACTATTACTGATAACGACTGGCCGTGACGAAGTACAATTGTCTTGTTACGTATTGTGACTGCCTGCTCTCGGTGATTTAGCGACCGTTTTTATAGTATTCTAGTAGTGTCGCGTTATAATTCTAAATCGGACCATATATGGTCAGAACGACGCGCTCTCGCAAATTCCTTGTTCGCGCTCTGCTTTGGAATTTGCAGACTTGGTTTTGCATGCTTGCATTTCTGGCCGGCGTTTCCATAGCAGCGGCTATTCCGAGATTCGAGAATGATCGTGAGGATAAGATATAATATGATAAGTAATAGCATAAATAATGTAGGAAATAATTCGGGCTACAACAGTATGAATTAAATATAATAGAGGTAATATAACTGCAATCGTGAAACTAATTAGTATAATGAATATTCACTAATATAATTTACGAGATATATTATAGATAATTGTCGACGTCGGGTTCTAAGTCTTATATCGTCTCTTCACTAGGAGGGTCTCTGCAATATCGCATCCAAACGAAGCTTCTTATGCCGAAAATAGAAGAAGAGAACAACTTTAGAGAGACCTGCCTCGAAAATTTTGCTTATACATTTATCGTGTTCATCAATACATTCCAAACAAGATGCTATCGGTTGTGTTTTCATTAATATACCGTTACAATACTGACATCTAATTTGTAATAAACTTAGATGACGCATTGATACAGCATGCCCTCGGGCAGAGAAATACATCGATTCCTATTTGATTTTTATAATCTTCACAAATTCTGAACCCCTCGCATTTGAAGGCTGCAATAGTTTTAGTGACCCGATAATGTTCAGCGTATACATTTATCAATGGCCTCGGATCGAAACGATTATAATCGTAACCAATCATATTGGAAATAATTAGATATAATTTTCTTGCTAAGATATGTCAGACATGTTTTATTACAAATTAATATTCAATGATCCGTGTTCATTATATGAAGATGGTTCACATACGAGGAGACATACGTTAGCACGAGATTTGAATTATTATCAATCGTGAATTGTTTAATAACCAAGCAACTACTGTTGGGTTTAGTAATGGCAGTTCTTTTAGTTTATAGATTATAGCGGAGTTTGTACTTTTAATAAAAATCTTCAAAATCTATAACTTCTAAAGCATCTAAATTATTTACATGAAAGAAAATAGAATCGAATTTAAATTCGTTAGTAAATCATTTCTTATAGTTTTGTCCCTTATTTTCATAATAATGATATTTTTCAAAACATTCAACGCAAGTCTGGTTTTCATAAGGAGATTCCTACAAAGGATATTTATAATATATTTTCCTTCTCAACAGGAAATAAGTTCTGTGGAGAAGTAATGTTCATAAGATGTAGCTATATCAGAGCCATAATTATTAGTCAGAGGTTTACACCTTGTACAAATAATAGTGTGATCCAAATTTGTAAGCATTTAGAATTTTAAAACATGTAGCTAAATCGAGTCCGGGAGTAAGGTTTAACAATTCGCAAGGTTCGTATTTTTCATTGATTATGCCCTTCACTTTCTTAAAGTC